CGCAATGAGTTGATGAAGGATAATCAGATGACAATGAATGGCTGATATCCCACGCAATGAGTTGATGAAGGATAATCAGATGACAATGAATGGCTGATATCCCACGCAATGAGTTAATGAAGGATAATCAGATGACAATGAATGGCTGATATCCCATGCCTCGAATGACATTTTCACCTCTTGTGTGGTTAGCACAAAAGGAGGCCATTGTCATACCTATGTCTGTCTGTATGAATGTGTTATATTATGTTCCACCAATATCTCAAAAAAAAACAATATCTTAAGAATCCAGTGAAATCAACAATATTGCAAAATTTCATGTTTTTGACTGACATTTGATTACTTGGATTTTTTCAGAGGTATATCTGGTACAAGAAGCATTTAGACATTTGGAATCCAGAGCTTCATCCATTCCCAATAGATATAGATTACATGATATCTGATACTGTAGAAGCACTAAGACCCAAGTTTAAATTCAGTTCAAATTCAGAAGAGGCAAATAATGCTGTAAGAGAACTAGAACAAGAATTTTTACCTAAAATTGGTAAGTTACATCTGAGTTCTCACCAAATTTCTTATACTTTGGATCTTTGAATCCTGTCGTCGTGTGTACAAAACCCGTTATCATTTTTTTTTCAGCCCCTTACTTACCAAAGATTAGTGTTAGTGAAGATCTTGATGATGCCTCCCATCCATTAACAACTATAGTTGAGGATGATGAAACCACTTTCCAACCTCAGACAGGTAAAAGAAAAATATATCAGTTGATTATATTTATTAAGAATTGTTTTGTTTCTGTCATTTAAAAAAAAGCCTTACTTTGAAATTTGATCCAGAATGATAAACGATACTTTGTCATGTGGCCCAAACATTTACATGGTTTAAGATGCACTGTCAGAGGTGCTGATCATTGAGTTTTAGTCTTGTGTGGAATTTAGGATTTTCCATCTACAGTCTTGCAATGAAGTCCGGTATAAATTCATAAAGAATATTTAATAAGTTTCTATAACCTGTTACATATAGAATGAAATATGTATAATTGTTGTTCATATATTTGTATGCCTTCTTAAGCATTAGAATATTTATTGACATTTTGATTTGTACTGCAATGTGCTAGTGTAAGCTAGAAATATGTATTTATTTATTGGGATTGCACTGTATATATTACTCCCAGATGGAGTTTGTGTGAAAAGTGCAACATATGCAAGTGTGGATCAATAATTTTTCTTATCTGGTTTGTTTTTGACTCCCGTGTGCGAAGCACAAAAGGGAGTCTTTGCAGTTACCCTGTCTGTATGTCTGTATGTCTGTATGTCCGTATGTCCGT